GCAGAAGTCAAAAAACTCTGAAACCTAAAGCTTAGAGCCTTGTCCTTAGATTTATTAAGATGCCCTCAGAAACACTCTTATTCCTTGTTTGCTGGTCTGTCAACCCCCCACAGATGCCTTGAACCACAAGGGGCGCCCTTTGTCTCCTGGGTTGTTGGGAAGCTGGCTTTGTACTTGCCAGAAAATGCCATCTTTTACGTAGGCCTTTGGGTGTTCTAGGATAACTGCTGGCGAGAGAAGACATATACCTAAGAGTGGGTATTTCGTGCAGTGTAGTGCTGCTCTTGGGGGTGAAATGGGGATGACTTCGGTGATTGTTCGGCTCCTGTATAAATGCGGGATGCCGTCGAGGCAAAGGTTGCCTAAGCCCTAAACAAGGATGGAGATGCCTGCGCCTTGGGATGCTTTTAGTGCCCCCCCGCCCCCCTATCTCCCATGAATAAGGAGCTGTTAGTATAAGGGGGAGCATCCCAACATGGAAAATACTTGAAGGTCGAAACCCGTCACCAGATGTGGATCAGAAGCCTTCTTTCATCCGCTAACTGTAGAGTTTAGGGTTTAGGGTTTAGGGTTTAGGGCTTAGGGTGCCCTTCTTGAGGGTTTGGGGTTTGGGGTTCATGGGCAGGCACAAGCTGGGCTTGCTTGTGAGTTAGAGCCCTTCTTGGGATAAGCTCTGAATCCTTTTTCCTAATAGTTTAGGGTTTAGGGTTTAGGGTTTAGGGTTTAGGGTTTAGGGTTTAGGGTTTAGGGTTTAGGGTTTAGGGTTTAGGGTTTAGGGTTTAGGGTTTAGGGCTAAGCCTTAACCCTTAAAACCCCCAGCCCTACAAGGAAACCGCTGCGTTTGCGGCTGGCCCGGCTCAAGCTGTTGCGGAGACCAACGACGGTTGAAGCGCGAAGGCGACCCTCCAACATCGACAGGCCGGTTGCACCATAAACCCTAAACTGCCCTAAACCCTATAAACCCCCTATAAACCCTCTAAACCCTATATACCCTCTAAACCCTATAAACCCTCTAAACCCTCTAAACCCTATAAACCCTATAAACCCTATAAACCCTATAAACCCTATAAACCCTATAAACCCTATAAACCCTATAAACCCTGAACCCCGTACGGTGCAATTGGATCCTAGGGTTCCAAGCCCTCCAAGTGCCTTGCAAGCCCCTCTTCGTACCGGTTGGGGGCCAGGGTCTGGGGTTTGGGATTCAGGGTATTGGATTTCGGGTTGCCGGTCTAGGATTTAGGGTTTAGGCTTCAGGTGTTGAGGTGCTGGGGGTGTGAAGGTGTTAAGGTGTGAAGGTGTTCAGGTGTTGGGGTACTGTGCAATGTCCCCCTACACAGGACACCCCACATTAAGGTTCATGGGTAGCGAAAGAAGCGAGACTACTACTAAGTACCCCGGGCTCTACACGCTGAGAAAGCAGATGTGCCATGTCGCCTGCTCTCCAAAAACCCCTTGGCCCCTGCCTACTTGGAGGTGCATGGTACTTGTTAGCCAATTAGAGCTCTACTCATTATTGTACCTATAACCATGTTAGGGCCAGGGCCCATGATATACTATATACGTACATGGATCCTTTGGGAAGACTCTTAAAATAGTACCTTCTTCTTGTAGTATGCTTTTAACGATCACCAACAGGAACTACATTTTGCAGCTTTGCGGTCAAGTCCCTCAACCCGCAAACCCTCCCGTCAGGCCCCCGTGAGGAATTTGCCGTCGCAGCCATGTCGTCGACGGAGACAGACATCCACTCAGCGTTTTCGATGTGGTGTCCTTTAGCGAGCCCCAGCCCCAAAAGGAATAAGGCCCCTCAACCCTAAACCCTAAACCCTAAACCCTAAACCCTAAACCCTAAACCCTAAACCCTAAACCCTAAACCCTAAACCCTAAAACCCTAAACCCTCAACCTGGTGTCCCTTTCGAGGTTTCCAACCCAGGGGCCCTGAAACCCTTGAACCCCAGGTCCTGGGACTTGGTTTTGGGTCTTGGGTCCTGGGTCTTGGGTTTTGGGTTTGGGTCTGTTTTTGGGCTTAGTATTTAGGATTTAGGGTTTAGGGTACAGGGTGTAGGGTTTAGGGTTCAGGGTTCAATGGTTTAGGATCCCACAGCCCTAAACCCTGAGCCCAGAAACCCAAAAAAAGAGGCCCTGAATCTTGGAGGCGAACACGATGAATAATTGTATATTACATAGTCATAAAAATGGATCTTTCTCTTGAAGGTTACATAGTCTTAAGAAGATTATTGACCCTCTTTAGAACAATGATGGGGGATCCTTTTCCCCTGCAATCTTTGAGGCGAATAAGATGAAGATTGCGCTGCTGAAGTACCCGAAGCGCGCGGCCATGCAGGCGAAGGGCGCGTCAAGGGTTCAGGGGGTGTGGGGTTTCAGGTTTTGGGATCAAACACCCTACACCCCAAAACCCTAAACCCATAAACCCCTAAACCCCTAAACCCCTAAACCCCTAAACCCCTAAACCCCTAAACCCCTAAACCCCTAAACCCCTAAACCCTAAACCCTAAACCCTAAACCCTAAACCCTAAACCCTAAACCCTAAACCCTAAACCCTAAACCCTAAACCCTAAGCCCTAAACCCTAAACCCTAAACCCTAAACCCTAACAGGACCTTGGTGGCCCTAAATGGATTCAAAGGGCCCTCGACAGTTTCAAAGGCTCCGAGGCCACCTAAGCGTCCCTTCGTCGGTTCATAGGTGCAGACTTGAGGAGATCTAGGCAGGGTTTAGGGTTTAAGGGTTTAAGGGTTAAAGGGTTTAAGGGTTTAAGGGTTAAAGGGTTAAAGGGTTAAAGGGTTTAAGGGTTTAAGGGTTTAAGGGTTTAGGGTTTAAGGGTTTAGGGAAAGCCCCCGAAGAGAGGCTCAGCGTTGTCGGCAGCTGTCTGGCAGTCTCCTACACAACTAAAGCCCTAAGCCGCTTTACAACCCTAAAACCCTTGTGAATAGAGGTTAGAGGTAGCCTTCAGCCACTGAACCCTTGCAAACTGCACAACCCGGATTTGCACCCTGAGCCCCCCTATACTACTCTAAACCCTAAACCCTAAACCCTAAACCCTAAACCCTAAACCCTAAACCCTAAACCCTAAACCCTAAACCCTAAACCCTAAACCCTAAACCCTAAACCCTAGACCCCGCCGTTGAACACGGAGAGGCGCAGCTGAAGAAGATCGCGCCGCGCCAGGTCAAGGTGGCCTCATGAACCCACTTCTTCGTGTGACCCTAAACCCTAAGCCCGAAGCCCTAAACCCTAAACCCTAAGCCCTAAACCCCAGGCCCTAGACCCCCTAAATCCTAAACTCCCTAAACTCCAAGCCCTACACCCTGTCTTGCCCTGAGACTCGTCAACACGCAACCCCTCCCCCCTCCTCACCGCTTCATCCCGAAAGCCCTCTGAAATCCTCATCTACCCCTGATGAAACCCCAAGCCCTAGTAGATAATGGATTAGTATATAAGTAGAATGTATAATGCCTATATCATTGTTTATGGTTGTATATAGTATACAATATGTGTATGTATGTATGCATGCGTGCATGCGTGCATGTATGCATGTAGGTATGTAGGTATGTAGGTATGTAGGTATGTAGGTATGCAGGTATGTAGGTATGTAGGTATGTATGTAGGTATGTAGGTATGTATGTATGTATGCATGTCTGTATGTATGTATGTATGTATGTATGTATGTATGTATGTATGTATGTATGTATGTAGGTACCCTATCCTCTAAACCCTAAACCTGAAACCCTAAACCCTAGACCCTAAACCCACTTCTCAGGGTAACCCTTAATCCCAAAGCTGCCACGGTGTCCTCCCAGTCGCGCCCCGCACAAGCCTCCTTGGGTTCAGGCTTTAGGGGGTATTGGTTTAGGGCTCAGGGTTTCGGGTTTTAGGGTTCAGGGTTTAGGGTTCAGGGTTTCGGGTTTGTTTGGTCTTGTTAAGACCCAGGGTTGGGGGTGTTGGGGCTTGGGGTTCGGGGTTGGGGCTGAGGGTTTGGGGTTTAGAGTTTGGGGGTTTGGGTTTCGGGTGTAGGGTGTGTAGCCACTCAATCTCACCCCGAAGGTCAATCTTTACTTCCCCTGAGCTTTGGTGCCTGTGGGAGCAAGTAATCCCCTGCCCTGGTATTGACAGACCCTCCTCCCCCACGATATCAAATATTCCCCCATGTACTATACGCTCGAACATTCTGTGACATACGATGACATGCAATCCTCTACCATATTCTGCGATAATCTTTTACAGCCTACGTACTGGAGGTTGCAGTCGGAATCTGTTTAATTTTAGCAGGGTCGGGGCGTTTCAGCGTTCGGTAGGGACTAAAGTGTCACTTGGCGCCGCGTGGGGGGCTTGAGGGCCTTCCTCCTGCTTTAGGCTTCAGGGTTTTAAGGGCTCCGGGGTTTGAGGGTTTAGGGTTTAGGGTTAAGGTCAGAGTTTCAGGTCGAGGATTTCATGCTGCGGCTGTGGGTAGTTGGCAGCATCGGCTCCGAAAAAACTGGTTCAAGGATCGTTGGCGACTGCCTGACAGTCCCTGAAGCATTCAGACATCACTCAACCTAACCGAAGCCCTGACCCCCTGACTCTCAAGCCCTACACCGTAAAAACTTTTCGGGTTTAGGGTTTAGGGTTTAGGGCTTGAACCCGACACCCCCAAGCCCAGATAGCCTCGACCGTTGACGTCGCAAAGGTGCCATCGAAGTTCTTCGCCTAGATTCCAAAGACGCCAAGCAAGCCTCCTGCCTCCTGCAACCCTAAACCCTAAACCTCAACCCTAAAAGACCCCAAGCCCGACAATAAGATGAGGGTTTTTTAGGTGTACTTGTTGAGGTTCAGGCACTTCTTACCCATCAAAGCAACGCATCGGCTGCAGCAGAACCCTATATGCGCAAGCACTGAATCCCCAGACCCCTAGTCCTCTAAACCCCTGGGCCCTTAGACCCGGAAACCCCTAAACCTTAAACCCTAATCCCTTCAAACTTCCCATCCCTCCTCCCGCCATGCCGAAAGCGCTCAAGAAGCGAAAGCCGAAGTCAGCCCCTCATGACGTAGGGGTCTTTCGGGTTCGGTTTAGGGTTCAGGGCTTGGGGTTTGGGGGTTAGGGCTGAGGATTCTTGCGGTGTTGATTGAGGCCTTGGGGTTTGGATTGGGGTTCAGGATTTCGGGTTCAGGGGTTGGGGTTTAGGGCTCAAGGTTCTTGGGGAGTTTAAGGAGGCCTTCGGGCTTGGATTGGAGTTTAGGGTTTAGGGTTTAGGGTTTAGGGTTTAGGGTTTAGGGTTTAGGGTTTAGGGCTGAGGGTTCCTAGGGAGCCTAGGGGTTTAGGGCTTCTAGGGGTTTAAGGGGGTCTCAGGGGCTTTACGGGCTTGAGGGGTTGCAGTGGCTTTAGGGCTTTTAGGGGTTTCAGCGGGCTGCCGTTTAGGGTTTCGGGTTGAGGCTCTTAGGGCCCTGGAGGTTTTCAGAGGGTTGAGGGCCTTAAGGAACTTAAGGGCCGTAGGAGTTTAGGCGGTGTAGGGGTTGGGAGCCCCCACAGATCAACCCTTAAGTCCGCAAACCCTAGACCCTAAACCCTAAACCCTAAACCCCAAACCCCAAACCCCAAACCCCAAACTTTTAAACCCTAAACCGTAAACCCTAAACCCTAAACCCTAAACCCTAAACCCTAAACCCTAGACCCTAGACCCTAGACCCTAAACCCTAAACGCCACACCCTTAAGTCCCTAAACCCTCAGACCCCGAGACCCTAAACCGAACCCCAAACCCCAAAGCCTCGAGCAGGGAAGCCCTGTACCCCTAAAACCCCTAAACCCCTTAAACCCCTTAAACCCCTTAAACCCCCTAAACCCCTAAACCCCTTAAACCCCTTAAACCCCTAAAACCCCTAAACCCCTAAACCCCTAAACCCCTAAGCCCCTAAACCCCTAAAACCCCTAAATAAGAAGCCCTACATCCTAAACCCTAAACCCTAAACCCCTAAACCCTAAACCCTAAACCCCTAACCCCTAACCCCTAAACCCTAAACCCTAAACCCTAAACCCTAAACCCTAAACCCTAAACCCCTTAAACCCCTTAAACCGAACGCCCAAAACGAGGCCTGGAGCCGGCGATGAGGACCCGGGCGAGCAGGGCAGCGGGGCCTCGCTCGAGGTCGGGCGGGAGAAGTGGGGGCGGTTTACGAAAATAGGGGGGTTTGGGGTTTGGGGTTTGGGGTTTAGGGTTTAGGGTTTAGGGTTTAGGGTTTCTAGACACAAATATTGAGAGATGTCGGCCTTCCGTGGATTATCGGTAGGTTAGCTTTGTCATGCTTTGTCTTTGCACCCTAAACCCGAAACCCAAAATTTTAAACCCTAAAGCCTAAACCCTAAACCCGAAACCTTATGTAGGCCCAATTACGGTGCGGTGTGTGTGTGTGTGTGGATAAATCTTGCTTAGCCCGCCTCATAGCTACCCACGAGCCTTCAGGTGGGCCCCCACGCCCCCAGACCAAGGTACACAAAGGTGCCAAGACCGTGAGGGTTCCCAAGTATGGGCGCTCTCACTGGGCACTCTGCTGGCACGCGGATGCAAGGAGGATCCACGTGCTGGCACCCTCATATAGGGGTCGGAATAATTCCTCATAGTATTCCCTTAGGGCCCCTTTATCACTATACTATAAAAACCCCTAAAACCTTATTCTACTTATTCAGGTCCCTATCTTAGTCTTCTGGCAGTCTGGCCGAAGACCTTCCAACAGCTCGACTCGTGTGCAACTGCAGATGTCTTCGGACCCTCTCTGCGCGATAAAAAAGGAAACCAGCAGGCATACGTGTTTTTTCCCCTTCAAAGAACGCTCAGTAAACTGCCTCAAGCGGCAGAGGTTTCCCACAGTGCGCTTGCTTTTTCACACGGTCCTACACATTGTCATGTGTGTGTGTGTGTGTGCGCCTGAAGGAGCGTTCTTACACAAACCCTACACCCTCACCGAAGCCCGCAGCGCACAAATCTAGCACAAAAACATCTGCCACAGAGACTCCAAGAGAGGGGCCGTAGAGTCAGCTAAACCTTGTACACCGTATAAACCTTATAAACTTGAGAAACCTTATAAACGTTATAAACCTGATGAACTTCACAAGCCATCCTAGTGAACCTTGTAAACCTTCCCAACTCCAACGCTCCGCCCCCCTCCCCCCCCTCCCCCCCCCCCCCCCCCCCCCCCTCCCCCCCCCCTCCCCCCCCTCCCCCCTCCCCCCCCCCCCCCCCCCTCCCAAAAAAAAAAACAAGTAGCAGCCCGTAATTTGCTCAACCAGGACGTGGCGAGCTTCTTAGCACGGAAGCTCGAATTCCACTTCACGAAGGACAAGGCCAGGGACTCGAGATCCCAGGCCCCTCACGCAAAGAATACCATAACTTCTGAGAGGGTCCTAATTCCGATTAACCCTAAGTTTTAAGAGCTAGGCCGCAAGCCCTAAGGACGAGAATGTATATTCCGTAGTTGAGTGTATTGGGCCGTCTGGAACTCTAGGGGGTTCAGGGACACCTCAGATTCTAGAAGCCCCGGAGCCCGAACCCACGAAAGCCCCTCAAAATCGGTGGGTTCCAACTAGGGTTTAGGGTTTAGGGTTTAGGAGTTAGGGATTTAGGGTTGAGGGTTGGTACTTTGGGATCCAGGGTTTACCTTACAAGCCCTGCGAGCCCTACGAACCCTCAGGCCCTGGAGTTTAGGGTTTGGGGTGTATGGTTTAGGGTTCAGGCTGCAGGCTTCAGGGCTCAGGTTTAGGGTTTAGGGATTAGAAGCCCCCTACAAACCCTAGATAGGGTTTAGGGGTTTCGGGTTTTAGGGCCCTCAGACACCAGACCTCCAAGACACTCAAGGACGCGGAGCGCACCGTTGACCCAGCTGAGTGCAAGGAGCTGCTTCAGGCCTCGCGGCTTCGGGTTTAGGGCTGAAACCCTATGAAGTTTCCATGGAATCCCCCTAAACCCTAAACCCTAAACCCCAAACCCCAAACCCCAAACCCCAAACCCCAAACCCCAAACCCCAAACCCCAAACCCCAAACCCCAAACCCTAAACCCTGAACCCTGAACCCTGAACCCTGAACCCTAAACCCTAAACCCTAAACCCTTCACCTCAAGATGCGGGCGCAGGTGCTCGGCGAGCTTCGGCAGAAGGTGCAGGGTGTCCACTCGGGGGCTCCTTGGACTGATTTGTAGGGTTTAGGGTTTAGGGTTTGGGGTTTAGGGTTTAGGGTTCAGGGATTAGGGTTTGGGGTTCAGGGTTTGGGGTTTGGGGTTTGGGGTGTAGGGCGTAGTGCTTAGGGTTTATTGCTGAGGGTTTAGGGACTGTATGTAGCGTTTTTGGGGCCCAAAAAACCCACATGAACATACGGATTCTATAAAACCTCCAAACCCTAAACCCATAAACACCCAACCCCCTAAACCCTAGAAACCCTAGTCCGCGGGCGCCAGCCAAAGGCCTACAAGACGCTGGTGCTGAAGTTCCAGCGAGGCTTTGGCCCTAAGTGCCGGCTTTGCAGCCCGTCTGCGAGTCTAAGTTTGAGTTTAGGGTTTAGGTTGTAGGGTTTAGGTTTTAGAGGTTAGGGTTTAGGGTTTAGTGGACTTAGGGTTTAGGGTTTAGTGGACTTAGGGTTTGGGGTGTAGTGGACTTATGGGACAAAGGGGACTGAGGCGGACTTAGAGGACTTAGGGGATTTAGGGGGCTTTTTATCTTTTAGGATAGTTTCATGGGCCCATAATGTGGTCCCTAACCTCCTTTAAAGGGTTCGGATGTAAGGGCCCTTATAAGGGATATACATATATGGGGTGCCCTTTTAAGGGCGGCTTTAGGGTTTAGAGGTGCGAAGCACCGGCCTACAAGCACACCTATAAAGTGCAACCTTTGGACAAAACTCAGGGTTTAGGGTTTAGGGTTTAGGGTTTATAGGGGTTTGCTCCATACCCCTGGTGCCTAGCGCCAAGTGCAGGCCTGGACGCAGCCACGGGCGCGAAACCCGGGGAGGCGCCCCAAAGCCCTGGACTTGTCTCGGTTTAGGGTTTAGGGTTTAGGGTTTAGGGTTTAGGGTTTAGGATTCAGGGTTTAGTGTGCAGGGTTTAGGGTTTAGGGTTAGGGTTTAGGGTTTAGGGTTTGGGGTTTAGGGTTTAGGGTTTAGGGTTTAGGGTGTAGGGTGTAGGGTTTAGGGTTTAGGGTTTAATTCGGGTTTAGGGTTTAGGTGCGCCCCAAAGCCCTGGACTCTTGCTTTGCTTGCGGAAGTGTTTCCGGTTTCGAGTTATGAACAGCTGTGTACCTAGAATAGGCTTCTTTTCACCTATGCCCCTGAACTTCCAAACCGTGAGTTTGAGAGTTTGGGGGGATATAACCCCAGGCCCTCTACCCCCCCCCGCCCTCAACAAAAACAAAAACCTTGAACTCCTAAACTCCATAATACCCCCCCTCACCCCCTCCCCCCCGCCAAGAAAAAACACAATAAACACATATACCCCAATCCATAAACCCAAGCCCCCTGCTTGCCCATGTCGGTGGTGGCTCGGACTCGAAGCTTGGGTAGCTCGTGGTTTTGTTGAGCCCCAGCCTTGGGCCTCGCGCGCTTGCGTTTGATGGCAATGCCTCAGATTCTCGGGAGCCCGCTGGTACTCTTTTTGTGTTTGGGTCTTTTTTTGCTCCATTTTGGGTTTCGGAATCCTTTTAAAAGGCCCTCAACCCTAAACCCTACACCCGAAACCCCAATCCCTAAACCCTAGACCCTAAACCCTTGCTCTGACATGGTTACTGGGGCTACCAAGGATTGACAAGCCGGAGGTGTCGGAGAGCAGCGGCTTGTGGGCGATGTTGACATACGCTTTTGTTACAGGGGGATTTGGCTTGGGGTTTGAGGTTTAGGGTTTAGGGTTTCGGGTTTAGGTTTAGGGTTTGGGATTTAGGCTTCAGGCTTCAGGCGCTGGGTTTTAGGACTTCAGTTGGGGGGTTTGGGTTCCAGGGAACCCATGGGTTTTATAGCGGGAATGGTCCTGGGGGTTCCAGTCGTGGCTCCCTTACGATCCCCTTTAGGCTCAGGGCTTGGGACTTCAGGGGATCCGGGGGCTTGGGATTTTAGGGTTTAGGCTTTAGTTATTAGGGTTTAGATCTTGGGTTTAGGGGTTCAGCAGGGCTTGGGAAGGGTTAGGTTCAGGGTTCAAATTCTCGGAATCTCGTTGTGACGCGCAGTTGTGGTCGCATTACACTTACACTATGGCGTGGGCGGCTGCCCGCCCGAAAATGGTACGTCACACATCCCAGACCCATGCGGCGTAACTGCAAAAATTTGGTTGGGAGATGTTCGAGCCGCGCCCTAAACACTAAACCCTAAACCCTAAACCCTAAACCCTGAAGCCTAAACACTCAATTCCCAGAGCCCGCGATTTGGGTGGGGACATGCTGGCACCTGAGCGTTGATGACGTGAGCTTGGGAGGTTCCCCCTTATCCTAGGGTTTAGGGTTTCAGGTCTAGGGTTTAGGGTCAACAGTCCTTAATAGGGATTATAGTACCCCCTCTTGTAATCCCTATTATTAATGAAGGACCGTTAGTATCAGGGAGAACATCCCAAATAGGAGCACGTCTGCGTCGACGACATCTTTGGGCCTTCCAGTTTTTAGGGTTTAGGGGTTCCTGGGTTTAGGGTTTAGGTTTTTTTAGGGTTTAGGGGTTCTTGGGTTTAGGGTTTAGTTTTTTTCGTTTTAGGGTTTTGCGTTTCGGATTCTAGGGTTCTGGGTTCCAGGGGTCTTGGGATTTTAGGGTTTTAGGGTTTAGGGGATGGTCTGGGTACATTGAGGGCTCATCTACTGCTTCATAGGCTTTTTTTGGGTTTCACGGTGAGTTGGGCTCGTGTGCGCTTCCAGGCGACATCTTCAAAAGGAAGCCCTACGTAGATGGCGCCAAGACCTTGATCGGGGGCGAGGTGAAGGAGTGGCAGGGGGCGTGCACAGACGTCCTGTCGCCGGTGTACTGCACGGAAACCGGCAAGCAGATCCTTATTGGCCGACAGGCCGGCCCGATGTGCTTTTGCTTGAAAGAAGGGTTACAAGCAATTAGGGCACAAGTACGTACTTATATAGTTGATAACCGACATTGAGGTACATTTTACCAGACCCATAGCTACACATGCAGCAATTCCTTGGCTGGCCGCATGTGTGGCCCTCGGCCCAACCCCCAAACACCCTAAGTCCCAAAACCCCAAGAGCGCGAGTACCGCCAGGCCAAGCTGACGCCAAAGGAGGCAGTGCTGGCGGTGGAGGCCGCCACCAAGGCTTGGGCACGAGGACCCATAGCCAGGCGGTTTTGGTTTAGCGTTTCAGGTTGCTGTGTTTGCAGTTTATGGTTTAGGGTTTAGGCTGCAGGGTGTAGCTGGGGGCTGAAAGAAGCCTCCAAGCCCCATTGTAGCCTACAAAGGCGCATCGGTAGCCTCTAAAGGCTCGGTAACATCGGGCTTCAGGGTTTTGAGCTTGGGGCAAAATCTGGCTGGTGCTTAGCCGGGAATGAGGGAACGAGATACCCTATTTAATCCCTTAAAAGTTTTTTTTTTAGGGCCCTAGTTCCCTCATTCCCCACCAAGAACCAGGTTAAAACAGGACTCCGCAGAGAATGGAAAGCGCCCCGTCGAAGCCTGCAAAGCGCCCTCCCTGAAACCTCCTTGGAGGTTCATGGCACTTAGTGACCAACTATATCTGTACTTATATAACCCACTCATAAGCCCCTTAAGTGCCCTAGTATGGTTATAATTCGCTCATAAGTACAGTACCCCAAACCCTAAACCTTAAAACCCTAAACCTAAACCCTAAACCCTAAACCCTAAACCCTAAACCCTAAACCCTAAACCCTAAACCCTAAACCCCTAAACCCTAAACCCTAAACCCTAAACCCTAAACCCTAAACCCTAAACCCTAAACCCTAAACCCTAAACCCTAAACCCTAAACCCAAACCCTAACCCTAAACCCTAAACCCTGCACACTAAACCCTGAATCCTAAACCCTAAACCCTAAGCCCTAAACCCTATAGGTACAGTTCTTATTGGAATTGTAAGTACCATGAACCTCCCAGTCGGAGGACGCGGGGAGTGGCCCCGCAAGACGCTGCTCCAGCGCGCCGAGGTCTGGTTTAGGGTTTAGGGTTTAGGGTTTAGGGTTTAGGGTTTAGGGTTTAGGGTTTAGGGTTTAGGGTTTAGGGTTTAGGGTTTAGGGTTTAGGGTTTAGGGTTTAGGGTTTAGTCGGAATAGTTCCGAATAATGTTCCCTTATGGTCCCTTTGTAGTTGTACTATAGCCCGAAAACCTTGTTCTAACTATTCGTGCTCCTACAGTAGTTGGGTCTTGCGGAAGTAAGTTATTGGGTCTAGGGGCCTGAGGTTTCCAGAGTCCTGTTCGATGCAGGGTGCGCAGTTGAGGAAAATGCCTTCAACCCTACACCCTGAAACCTGAAACCCGAAGCCCTCACCCTAAACCCTAAGCCCTAAACCCTAAACCCTGAAACCCTAAACCCACAGGGTTCAAGGCTTCTCTTTTCTCTGCAGGCTGTGGAGAAGTTGGTGCTTCGACTGCGGTCCCGCCGCGAAGAGATCGTGGCGGCCCTGCAATGGGAAATCTGCAAGAACGACGCGGATGCGGCGAAGGAGCTAATGGTTCAGGAGGTTTTCGGGTTTAGGGTTTAGGAGGTTTTGGGGTGCAAGGTTGGGGAGCTGATGGTTCAGGGGGTTTTGGGGTGTAAGGTTTGGGGATCAGGGTCTAGGGGTCTAGGGTTTTGAGTTCTGAGGGTTCTGCGTAAGCGTCGCAGGCAGTTCATCAGAGTTGCCTGAAAACCTATGAAGCCCAGGTTGCATTTGGGGCTCCTTAGCCCTGCAGCAGCCCTTCAAACCCTGAAGCCCTAAAACCCTTCAACCCTAACAACCCCTTAAGTCCCAAAAACCCGAAAACCCTAAGGCCTGAATTCGAGGCTTAAGGTTTAGGGTCTAAACCCAAAACCCTAAACCCTAAGCCCTAAACCCTAAACCCTAAACCCTAAGCCCTAAGCCCTAAGCCCTAAGCCCTAAGCCCTAAGCCCTAAGCCCTAAGCCCTAAGCCCTAAGCCCTAAACCCTAAACCTCCCCAAACCCCAAACCCTTGACCCTAAACCCCCCCCCACCCCACCCTTGAGGAGTTCGACCGCACCATGGACTTCATTGCCGCCCTCGTCGCCGCAGCCAGGGAGGCGGAGGCGAGCTCCAGCCTCCTCGTGTACCAGGACAGGGTGGGTGAGGGTTTAGGGTTTAGGGTTTGGGGTTTGGGGTTTAGGGTTTAGGGTTTAGGGTTTAGGGTTTAGGGTTTAGGGTTTAGGGTTTAGGGTTTAGGGTTTAGGGTTTAGGGTTTAGGTTTAGGGTTTTTAGGGTTTTAGGGGTTTTTAGGGTTTTTAGGGTTTTTAGGGTTTTTAGGGTTTTTAGGGTTTAGGGTTTAGGGTTTAGGGTTTAGGGTTGGTCGTTCTTACCCGAGGGCTCCAGGTATACAAATGATACCAAATAATACCTGCATTGGGGGCTAAAGTCTGTCAATACTACCTACTTTTGCCTACTTGAGCCTTAGGGTTAGGGTTGAGGGATTTCAGGCTTAGGGTTCTGGGGTTCTGTTTGCAGGGTTTCAGGTTTAGGAGCTGGGGCGTGCCAGGGTTTGAGGTTTAGGGGCTGGGCGTGCCAGGACAGTTTGGGGGTTCGGCTTAAATGTGTAGGGGTTTAGGGTTTAGGTTCGGGTCCCTAAACCCTTTAGCTTGGGGCTGCAGCAGATACAAACGAACTGCGAACAAGCCCACTCATCCATTTCTGCAGCCCTAAACCCAGACGCAGGTCTCTTAGAGCCCCACTTATAACTTGTACCCTAAACCCTAAACCCTAGACCCTAAACCCTAAACCCTAAACCCTAAACCCTAAACCCTAAACCCTAAACCCTAAACCCTAAACCCTAAATCCTAAACCCTAAACCCTAAACCCTCAACCCTCAACCCTA